TGCCTGCTGTAACTTGCTCCAGGGTCTCAGTTTTCTGAATCAGGAGTTTGCAGACCATCTACTGACAGATCAGTTGATCGATCTAACCTATTGATTGATCTAATCTATCTTGTCTACTGATTAATTGGTCTAATCTATCGATCTGTAATCTACCTATACTCTCCAATACCTACCTGTCATTTAGCTACCTATCTCATCCATCTATCTTACCTATGTATCTCTCTATCACCTATCATATGTACCTATGTATCTGCCTATTTATTGATCTATCTAATCTATATGTATTTACCAATCTAGCTATCTGGTCTATCAGTTGATCTCTATTATCTATCTATCATCTAACTAGTGAGCTGTTGTAACTGTCAAGTCCAAGGGGCCAGGAGCCCCAAGTACACGTGAGCATTGGGGGACTTGTGCAAAAGGCATGTGAACCCCAGCTGCAGAACACACAGTCTTGGGAGAAACCCCATGGTTCTGTATTCTGGACACTGATTGTTTCCAAGTTACCATGAGATAACAATAGTTTGTATACCGTGGGCAAAAGAGTACCTAAAGCTGTATTTGGCGTCCTACATTCTACAGGAGTTCCATGCCCATTTTAGCAAAGAATATAACCAGAATGAATAATTTTCTGCAGTGTTCACCTGACGGCTCGTAGGGTCGGGGAAGAAAAGAACATCCTTGGCTGCCAGCCTCCATGCTTCCTCTTCAAGATGCCTCTGTATTTTTATTTATTTCTTTATTTGACACCAGAGAAAGCACACGCAGGGGGAGCTGCAGAGGGAGAGAGAGAAACAGGCTCCCTGCTGAGCAGGGATCCCAATGTGAGCCTTGATCCCAGGACCCCGGGATCATGACCTGAGCCAAAGGCAGATGCTTAAGCAACTGAGCCACCCAAGCACCCAAGATGCCTCTTCAAAACTAACTATCATTTTGGTGTTCCTATTTAATGCAGAAATTATTGAGGATGTATTCTAAAACTTCCCAGTTGCTAGCTGTTTCTAAACACAGAGTATTAAAATCTCCTACTTGGATTTCCAACACATCCATTTTGCCTTTTGTTTGTTTGTTTTGTTTTGTTTTGTTTTTGTTTTGTTTTGTTTTTCCATTCTGCCTTTGATTTCCGTCATTTTCTGCCTCCTCTGTGCGAAGTTATAACATATCACATTTGCATGAGTAATTTGTTCACCGTGACACCGAATCATACAAGGCTGTGATTTGCTATCATTTACCATCATTTCCGTGCACCGGTGCCCAGCTGGATTGCACTGGCTCTTGCCAGTGTGTGTCTGCACACAGGAATCCAGATCAGGCCCATTCTCTGTGCATCGAAGGCCACAGTCTCGGAGAACCCTCAGGTTCAGACCCTGGGGAGGCTCACTGTTCCCTAGGTGGGTGTCTGCTCCCTCAGGCCATCATCCCACCAGTTGGCAGTGGAGCGACCACCTATACCCAGGGCATTACTGCAGGGCAAATTACACAGCAATTGAGTAACTCACAGGTCATGTGATTTCTTTGTCTACAGTTCCTCCCCTCCCAGGATCTCTGGGCTCCGAGGTCAAGGTTTCAACCCTCTCCTCACTACGCCTGATCTTTTTAAAGAAACAGTCCCCATCCTGAGCTGTGTAGGGCCAGCAGGGTCTGTGTAGGGCCAGCAGGGTCACCTAATTAGCAACCCACAGAGGCTCCTATCACTTGGGGAACTTCAAGGGCTTTGAAACTGTGCCAGGACCCGGGGACAGAGATCAGCTACATCTACCATGTGTGCCCCGGGGTGACTTTCCAGGTGACACTGAGCCCTCTCCACTGGGCCAAACCTCAGCCTTCTCACCCTGCTTCTCCCTTCAATGTCAGGGGGATGGCTGAGTCACAGCCGGGCACACTTGCCCCCTACCCGTGAGAGGTGCCCAGCACTCCCATTCATGCCCAGGATACACCAGAACGTCCTCCCAAACCCACCTCTGCAGTCTGGCCAGGTCTCAGCCTACTCCTGTCCAAGCCTGGAGCCTTCCAGGGACAGGTCAAACCCAACACGCTGGAAGACAGAAACACAATCACTCTGAGGTTGGTTTGGGGTAGGTTTTCTCACAGCTGTGTCTCCATTGCCTGGAATGGCTCTCAGCATTGGAGGCCAGATACTTCCTCTCGATCAATACGTATATTATACATACATATTTTGTCTGCATGATCTTGATGAGGTGATCCAGGGCAGCCCCTAGGTGGGGCTGGCTGCCACAAGGACCAGGCTTGTGTTTATATACATATTGCTACAGAATTAAGATCAACCTGTATGTGGGTAGATACATACAGACACAGACTGACACAGTAGAAATACTGTGGATAGATAAGTTGATACAGATATAGGCATACATTGACACAGATTGCAATTGAATACTCATCAATATATCTTGTAATCCAATCAACACACGTATATACAAATATATGGTTGTTCATGGAACTGTTGATTGATAAACAGAGGCAAATAAAAAAGTTTTGGAATGCGTTTGGGCAAACATTGGTTCAGGCAGCACCCAATCTAGCAGATTAAAAGTCATGCCAAGGTGCTGTACCAAATGAAAGACTTCTGTAGGTAGAAGGGAGTCACGCAGGGAAAAGCGGCTAGTTATTATAAGGTTACTTTCCTGCAGGGAGGGGACGGCAGGGGCCTGCCAGGCCAATTTCCTCACCAGGGCTGAGCAGCTAATTCCTGACCAGTTAGTGTAAGATTCCATTTCTGGAAGAGCCGAAACTGTCATGAACATGTCTGCGTTTGGGGAGCTGGGGCTTAACATAGGCACTGCTTTCGGGGCCTCTTATTTTTAGCAAAATAAAAATGAGCATCTGGAGGTCTGCCCATCTAGAATTCAGGCACAGGTGAAGTCCAGGGCACAAAAAACATGCGTCTTGGCTCATGTATGGCATGAAAAGGTTAAGTATGTAAGTAAGAGGGGAAGATAATGATTTAGGTATAAGAAGAAAGAAATTTTTCTCTGTGGAGGAGCACCTGGGGGGCCTCCATCAGTTAAGCCTTCAGCTCAGGTCATGATCCCAGGGTCCTGGGGTCCAGCCCTGCATTGGGCTCCCTGCTCCATGGGGAGCCTGCTTCTCCCTCTCTCCCACTCATGCTCTCTCACTTTCTCTCTTTCTCTCTCAAATAAATACAATCTTGTTTTGTTTTTTTTTTTCCTCTGTGGAAAGAACCACAGGAAAAACAAAAAAGAAGAACCAGCAATACTGTGGCTTTGGGACAGCTTTTACCGGACGCAGGTGTGTGCTTCCCAGCACCCCCTACAGCAAGGTGGACATGCAGAGGTATTTCCAGGACACACACGAAATCCACAGGGGTAACGTGATGAATTCTGCTATTCTGGACTGAACGTTTGCCTTCCACCCTCCAGATGCGTACAAGGAAACCCTGAGCCCACGGTGATGGTGTTAGGAGGGGGCCCGTGGGAGGTGATCGGGCTGACGTGAGATCATGGGGCACCCCGTAGGATTAATGTCCATATAGGAGGAGGAAGAGACCAGAGCTCTAGCTCTGTCTCCACCATGCATGGGTCAACAGGAAGGCAGCCGTCTGTGAGCCAAGAAGTCAGAACTCGCCAGAACCAGGCCATGCTGACATCCAGCCTCCAGAACGGTGGGAAACAGATGTCATGGTTTGAGCCACCCATCTGTGATATTTTGCTGTGGGAGCCTGAGTAACTAAGACACCTACCCAGGAAATAGGAAAGTGGGAGGAGTCACAAAATGCTTTTAGATGAAAAGGGTCATATTTTTTTTTCCCGAGATAAACAATATAATAGCAAACACGTCAGGGAACATGAAACAAAACATAGATGAGAACCAAGAACTAGAGGAAAGGAGGATTACAGGAGGAATACTGGAACATATCTACCGTTCTGTCCATGGTTATTAAAATGCAAAATTCAATTAATAAGGTAGGAGTGGCTAGCTGGTCCAGTCAGTAAGACACCAGACTCAAAAAAAAAAAAAAATTTTTTTTTGAGAGGGTAGGAAGGGGCAGAAGGAGAGAGAGAGAACCTTAAGCAGGCTCCATGCCCAGCACAGAAAACTTGACTATCCCAGACGCTGGCCCTCGCCAGGTGGAAATGCGCTACCCCAAACCCATCCCTGCTGGGACGCTGTCACAGAAGACAAGTAGGCAGCTGGCCTTTCCGCCCTGCTGTGCAATACCCGAGTGTCGGAGGAGGCCAGAGGGCAGCTGGAATGCCCTCCTCTGCTCGGTGGGCGTGTCTGCCCCCCACCCCCGCACTGGGCCGTCTGCTCAGCAGGGGTCTGCTTCTCCCTCTTTCTCCCCTCTCATGCTCTCTCTCACTCTCACACACTCTCTCCAAATATTGAAAAGAAAAAAAAATGCGGCCTCAGACGCCAGGTTGCGTGGTCTCGCCTGGGTCCCCATGGCCAGAGCCAGGCTCCATGGACACCAGGCCAGCTGGGGCTGGTGAACACACGATGGAGAGGAAGCAGCAGTCTCTGATGCAAACCATGAGGGCGAAGACCAGAGCTTTGTTCACCCGGTGTCCCAACAAGCATCATCAGAGCCACAGAACTGTGGAGGGACCCTCCCAGAGGCCTCAGAGATGCTCCCTGGGCACAGTGCTCGTGTCCCAGAAGGGTCTACTGGGAGGAGGCCATTTCTAACGGGAACTAGACTTAATAGAACCAGTGGAGATGAAACAAGACAGCGAGTGTTCATGCAATGTGGTAAGGACAAATTCTTTGCAAATGAGATTTCCCTTGTGAGAGTAGTCAGATCATTAGCAGAAGCTGGAGGGAGGCGGGGGCCAGAGGGGCTGGGGTTCAGGATCCTTCCTCAGCTTCTACGGCCTTTCGGTACAGGAGTCCACCCCTGCCTCCCTCCAGGTGGCCTGGCTGGTCACTCGCCATGCTCCTTTCTGCTTCAGACAGAGAAAGGGCTGCCGTGGCCTTTCTTGGAGGCCACACCAGGCCAGGGAGGTGACCATGGGGCCCAGGCCGACGCACCTCTGAGCATCCAGGAGCCCCAGGAGAGGTGGCAGGACCCTCACCTCCTTCCCCGAACAAAACAAACAAGCAGATAACACCATCCGGTTCTGCTTTTTATTGGTGTGTCGGTGTGTATACAGCAAGTCCTAGAGGGAACACGAGGGGGCGAAGCCCAGGAGGGCGACCTCCCCACCCTCCCCCCACACACGCATCCTCTCTGCCAGGCCAGGTACTCAGTGAACCTGGGCCAGGTTGTGTTTCTTGTACAACAGCGCCCGCCTCTTCTCTCGCTCGCGCACGAAGGCGCGCAGGCGCGCAGTTGGGAAGGTCACGGCCGCGGGCTGGAAACCAGCAGGGCCCTCCTCCGTTAGCCACGCGCACTGCAAGCAGCTGGACGCGCAAGGCCGGCCCCTGGAGGGAGGGCAAATGTGTCGGCTGCGCTCTCGGAGCTGGGGCCGGTTGGGGAAGGGAGGCAGCAAGTGGGACAGGCAGGCCGGGACAGGTGGAGGGGGTTGGACTGCCTTACCACGGGTGAACGCACAAAGCGCTCCGGAGAAAACCCACGGCGCCGCCGGACAGCCCCGCATAGCAGCGACTCAAGCGGACTAGCCCCTTGCGAAGGCTTTTCTGCATGTCACGTGTCCCTTCACTGCTCACGGGGTACTCCGCGCTCAACCTACGCGCGCGGGGGTCAGGGGACTCAGGTGACCCTCGGGTGGGCGTGCGGGGGCACCGGGGGCTCTGGGGTCACCCTCGATGGATGGGGCGGCACGGGGATCTGAGATCATCCTCACATGTATGGGAAGACACGAGACCTGAGGTCGCCCTCGGACGGAAGCCCCACGGGGGCTCCGGGGGCACCCTGGATGGATCCCCAGTCTCCCGCCCCTGCGTTTGGGGGACTCACATGATGAAGGCTGTCACGCCTATGGCCCAGATGTCTGTCTGCGGGACGGCACCCTGACCCTCCAGGAGCTCAGGAGCTGGGGGCGGACACGAGAGAGCGCACAGGGGAGAGGCTGGGTGTGTGCGGTGCAATGGGGAGGCAGCCAGGACGGGGGGCGGGGCTTCCTCCGGGCCCACCCTTCTCCCCCAGGTCAGGTTGGCGCCTGGTCCCTGCGCACCCATGGTTTCCACGTAGTCTTTGAATCTCTCGGGGGGCTGGACCCTCTCCTGGGCGAGGTTTTGGGCGTTGCCCAGGTCGACGACCTTGAGTAAGTTGTACTCGGTGACGATCATGTTCTCGGACCTGAGGTCCAAATGCAGAATGCGCTGGGCGTGCAGGTACTGGGCGGCGCTCAGCATCTGCCACAGGTAGTCCTTCACCTCCGATTCTGAGTAGCAGGCCCTGGGGGCGCACGGGGAGGGGGCTCGGCTCCATCCACGGCAGAGGGAGCGCGGGGATACTGGGCCTTTTTGTGGGCTGGGGAGGGTCTGCTTAGCTCCCAGACCCGGGCTGGCCGGTGGAGGCGGGGCTGGGAGGTGGGCGGGGAGGTGCGAGCTGGTCCGCACCGTGAGCCCCTCTTCCCCCGGGCGCAAGTACCGCCCCGCCCGGGCCCCGCCTTCAGGCCCGGCCTCACCTCTCCGCCAGGCAGGGCAGCAGCTCGGGTCCCGAGCACAGCTCCAAGATGAGAACCAGGTGCCGGGGGCTGAGGTAGGCGGCGTGTAGCTGGGCCAGGTGCGGGTGACGCAGGCTCTTGAGGGCTTCGTATTCGCGCAGCACTGCAGTCCTGTCCTCGGGGCGGTAGGGCACGATCTTCGCGGCCAGCGCGCGTCCGCTGGCCTTCTCCCGGCACTGCCGCACCACGCTGAAGCGGCCCCTGCGGGAGGAAGCCCCGGCCGGGCTTGTGAAGACTCCCTAACGCGCCCTTCTTCCCGGGGTCAGAAGAGCCAACCCGGCGAGCCTTGGGGAGGAGGGCGCAGATGCTCCGCTCCAAGCTTGTGTGGATGTGAGGAGTGGGGAGGGAGGCTGGGGTGGGGGCGGGGAGCCGGCAAAGCCAGTGGGCGACGGGCTGTGGCACCTTCGAATCTGCGTCTGGAAGGCGAAGGTCTGCGTGCTGCGGAGGGGCTGCGCCGGCGGCAGGACGCGGCTCTCTTCCTCCGAGGCTGTGGGGGACGAGCCAGTGACCGGGAGGCACCCCTACAGCTCCAGGTCCCCCCAGCATGGTCTCCCATACCCCTTCCCAGGCCTCCCAACCCCCACACTTTGATCTCACTTCCCTTGGGCCATTTGGGGGCAGGGGCCTACCCGTTAGGACAAGCCATCCCAGCCGGTGCTTGTGACCAATGAGCTTGCAGGGCACCCCACTACCGCCGCCCCCCAGGCCTCGCAGAGCGGCTCACCCAGGTGGCTGGGCCCTCCCAGGAGGACTTCCTCTGAGGGGCTGCTGTAGGGTCCCATGCCTGCCTTGCTGACACAGGCCGTCCGGAAAGTGTACATGCCACCCCTGGAAAGCTTGGTGGCGAGGTGGCAGCAGTCAAAGACGTCAGAAGCCAGTGTGCTCCAGCTGCCGCCTGGGCCACACAGGGGTGGGTGAGAGACCCTTCCCCAAGGGAACACAGAGGGGCACCCCCTGCCGACCCCGGGGCTGCTTAGGGAGGGCTCCTACCTTCCAAGCTGCACTGCACAATGTATGTCACAGGCCCATAGGACTCCACAGGCTTCCAGACCAGCAGCACCCCGTCGGCATACACCTCCCCGATGTCCGGGCGTGGAGAAGACGAGGGGCGCTCTGCGGGCCCATGGTGCACAGTCTGAAGGGGGCTCCCCATGACTCCCCACCGCCGTGTGCAGCCCAGCCAGCCCTGCCTCACCCTCCTGCACCTGCTGCCAGGTCCCTGAGCCCACCATCCCCTGGACCCATTCATGCAGGTCCCCTTCAAGCACCCACTGCTAAAGGGGCCCAGTGCCTCCTCTGGTGGAGACCTCGGTTGGTGTCTGCCGCACCAGGCTCCCCTCCCACCAGGGTAGCTCAGCAGCCCCACAGAGTGGCCATAAGTGATGGCCCTCTGCCAGCCGCAGAATCCCATCAGAGGGGCCTGTCCCAGACACTCAGCTTCATCCAGCAGCCTTGAAGGACACTGGGGGGTAGGCCACCGTGGGAATCAAGCTAGTCCCACAGCCCCTGTTCTGCCTCCTCGGCTCCCCCTCCTGGGGGTCCCAGTCTGCAGGGAGGACCTAGGGCTTCTGCAACCCCAACGGGGATGACCGGGGGGGTAGGCATCCCATTCTGTGGGCCTCCTCAGTGAGGGGGACCTGCAGGAAAGAACTCACCAAGTGACAGGTGGTCTCCAGGTTCTCCAGAAGCCCCCCATCGGGGTCAGTCCCTGCCCCATCCCCGCAGAGGGGTCTGGTGCAGTCCACTCACCTGCCTTCCGGAGGACAGCCGTGGTGGCCACTGTCCCCAGCGTGTTGCTCACACTGCACGTGTACACCCCCAGGTCCTCGGCCTTCACCACCAGGATGGTCAGAAGCTGGAAGTTCTTGAGTGTGGAGGAGATGAGGATGCGGCTGGTGCTCTCCAGGGTTGCCCCGTCTGTAGCAGGACAGAGCAGGCCTGGGGAGCGGCTCAAAGAGGCACCCTGCCTTGAGACCCCTGCCCTCTTGGGGCCCGTCTCTCTCCATATGATGAGAGCAGTGCCCCCAAGGAACACCCCTGCCTTCCTGCCCCCCAGCCACAGAACACCTCCTTACCTTTGGTCCAGGTGGCCTGCACAGCTGGCTGGGCCGACACTTGGCAGGCCAGAGTCACGGACTGGCCCAGGACCACTGTTTCATCTGCAAGCTCCTTTACAAATGATGGTGCTAGGGCATGGGAAAGGAGGCAGGCAGGCTTTCAAAAGTGATCCCCAACCCGAGAATACACCCTGTACCCCCGAGAGGGGGATCCTGGGGAAGCCCATGCCTGCTCAGCTCATCTTCAACTAGCACCTCTCCTCCAGGAAGTCCTCCAGGACTCCCCCAATGCTGGGCACTGGAACTGCTCAAGCCACAGTAATCTGGTTTCCAGCCCTTGTGGATGTCAGCTTGCCCCCTCTACCGGTCCGGGCCCAGGAAGGGGTTGCCTTCCCCTACAATCAGGTCCCCTAGGCTGCAGTATGGCTCAGCTCCTGGGAAGGGCACCCACCTCGGTCCCTATTCTTCAGGCCCAACCGGAAGGAAGCCAGGCCTGCCTTCTTCCTGGGGGGGCTCTCTTTCTCCAGACCTGCAGGGAGGAAGAGGCCTCTGGAGGTCACACCTGAGGAGCCCAGCTCCCTTGGGAGCACAGGAGAAAGACCCCAGAGCCATGCACTGTGGGATTCCCATGTGGCAGAAGATCCCAGAGGCTTTTGTGGCAAAGGAGCTCATCTGTGGCAGAGACCACCCCCTCTTGACCCCTCAGGATCAGTTATCTTGCAAGGGCCCCAGGGGCAGCGACAGGTCAGGCAGGGCTGTCGTGCCTGGATCCTCTCCGTAGGGGGAGCTCCAAGCCTCCTGAGGTCCCCGCACTGGGCTTCAGACGCACTTGGGGAGAGGGTGAGGCCACGTGGGTGACCTCTGGAACAGCAGCCCCTGTGTGTGGCAAGGCGAGGCGGGACCCCGGAGCAGAGGGGCCCTTGTGTCACCCCAGCCCCTCTGAGCAAGGGAGGTGCGGTGCCCCTGCCAGGGCGGAGGGTGGGGGAGGGTGCGGGAGTCACCTTCAGGCCTGCCCTTCAGCAGGCGGGAGATGTGGGCCATGGAGGCCCTCACCCTCCGGCGCAGACCCAGCTCCACGGGTTCCTCCAGCAGCGTGTGCCTCCCCGGGACGTGGAAGAGGCCACCCGAGGGGGCTGACCACTTGCGCTTCCTACTGCCCACAGTCTCCCTGAGCGGGGTCTCCACGTCCTCTGGCGCCTCTGCGACCTGCAAGCTGGCCGGTGGGCCCAGGGCACCCGGCCAAGGCCACCCAGCCTCCGGGAACTCCGCCAGCTCCTCCCCGGCCTCAGACTCAGGGGACGGTGGGGGCTCTGGCTGCACAGGCTTGGGGACTTTCCTGAAGATCATGAACTCGAAGGGCAGATACTTGATGTCGTAGAGGTCAGACAGGTTGAGATAGGCAGGCTCCACCTCGGAGATGTCCAGGGACACCGTGTCGGCCCCTTCCGAGTCCCCAGACAGGTCTCGGATCTGTACCAGGGACACCTGGGAGCCCCCACCGAAGTCCTCCCATGTGCTCAGCTCCGGGGAGGCCCTTAGGGCTGTCCCACTGCCCTCAGGAGGGGGTGCCGCGCTGGCCTGAGGTGCCGGGCTCTGCGCCCCAGCATCGTCGTGCTCCTCAGAGGACTGAGAGGTGGCCCAGGCCATCCTGGCCCACAGGGGGCCCTGCCCCAGCATGCCCCCCGCGTCCCCGCCAAAGGCAAAGGTGCCATAGCCTGCCACTCCTGCATAGCCCCCACGGCGCGCCCCCACGGAGAACTTCCGTGTGGTGGCCTGCTCCTGAGGCCGCTGTGGGCTGGCCTCGACCTCTGATGCGTCCTCCGGCTCCACGGCCAGGCCCTCCGCATCCTGTAAGGGGCCAGGCTCCGTGCCCACTGGGGAGGCCAGTGCTGGGGCTCTAGGAAGACTCGGCCTCCCAGGGAGAGGAGTGTGCTCTGGTCCCTTCTTAGAGCCTGGCTGGGGGCTTCCTTGGGCTGGGGAGATGGGGGCTGTTGGCTCCCCAGAGAGGAAGGAGCTCAAGTGTGCCAGGTCACCCGTGCACTGCTTTGAAGGGAAGGAGCCAGAAGGCTGTGGTGTAACAGTCTTATGGGGGCCACGGCCTTCCAAGGGATGAAAGGAAGGGGCGGGCTGCCCCCCACAGCTGTCCTCACAGGACCCCTCTTGCCCAGTGGACCCCAGGTCGCCACCGACGGACTTTAACAGTAGCGGCCCCTGCTGGGATCCCTCCAGATGCTCCATCTCCCTGGCGCAGGTGACCCCTCCTGGCCAGCCCTCCCCTGAGCCCGCCTGGAGGCCCGAGAGGGCCGGGCCGGGGCACTGCCCTCCGCCACAGGCCTCCGTGGAGGAGCTTGCGGCGTGTGGCTGGTCAAGCTCCAGGGAGCGGCTGCGGCCGGGTGCCCCGCGGGCGCTGGAGCCCGGCAGCCTCAGGGCGGTCTCGAAGGAGGGCGCTTTGGCCATCAGGGCGGCCTGCTCTTCCCGGGCGGCCTCCTCCTCCAGCGCGCGGTGCTCCAGCAGCGGCTCGCGCAGGCCGGGCAGGGCGCCGGCGAAGTAGCCGCCCTGGAGCAAGTGCCGCCGCCGGGCCGGGTGCCGCCGCCCGCCCGAGGCGGGGCCTCCGCGCTCCGGGCCCTCGCCCGCCTGCTGGTAGAAGAGGCTGCGGACCACGCTGTGCCGGGGCACGCAGCCCGGGGCGCCCACGGGCGGCGTGCGCGGAGGCGCGGGCGCGGCGGGCCCGCAAGCCCCGGTCTCCTCCGGCAGGCTGGCGGACGGGCGCAGGAAGCCGCGCGGGTGCAGCAGCGGCGAGTGCGTCACCGGAGATGGCGGCAGCGACCTGGCCCGGGCGAAGGGGGCCAGCTCGTCGTCAGACGAAGAGGACGAGCTGCTGGACGAGGCGCTGGCGTCGCCGCGCAGGTGCCGGGCCACCCCGAGGGACGGGCTGTCGGGCGGGCCCTGGAGCAGCTCCGGAATGGAGCGCATCACCAGGATGGACTTGTAGCTCATCAGGGAGCGCTGGGGGAGGGTGCAGGGGACAGGGGGGCATCAGCCGCGTGCCCGCGCCTTCCCGCTCCTGGTGCGCCCAGAGGGGCACCCAGGGGCTGGGGCGCGCGCCAAGCTCCAGCCTCAGGCCGTACTGCTGTGTCGTTCCGCCCCTGCCTTTGCTGGGACGTCGCAGGTGCCTCCCGCCTCGACCCGCCCCGACCCGACGGCCCAGAGAGCGCACACGCCAGCGAAGGGTGAACAAGGTTCTCGTTTCCCAGGCCCGCCGGGACGCACCGCTATTCCTCGGGGCCAGGATCCTCTGGCGGGCCTCCAGGCCCCTCCTTGCCTCTAGCCCCGCCTCGCGGTTCCCGTCCCCTTCCCCCCAACCCCAGCTCTCCCCTCCCCGCCTTCCGCGCCTACCCGCACCCCGCCCCCGCCCCACCACTCCGGGAGGCTGGCGGCTCACCTGCCAGCGGCTGCGGGCCAGCAGGAACTTGAGCTGCTTGGTGTTGATGAAGTGGGCCTCCTCCGCGGGCACGGACCTCTGAGGGGGCCCAGGTGAGAGGGGCCGTGAGGGGAGACCCTGGTGCACCCGCTGGCCCACGCCGGCCTCCGTTTCTCTCCCTGGGCAGGCCTGCTGGGGCTCAGCCTACTCACCTGGAACCAGGGGTGGGCGAGGCACTTGGCTGCACTGGGCCGAGCCCTAGGAGGACAGGAAGGCCAGGGGTCAGGCCAGAGGGTCAGCTGCAGGCTCAGGCCTCGGGGAACCCCCAGTTGGGGAAGGGCTGTGCACTCACTCGGGGGCCCTCTGCAGGGCAGCCTTGATGAAGTTCCGGGCATCATCACTGAGGTGGGCAGCTGCCGGGCTGCTCCAGGACACCCGCCCCTCCAGAATGTTCAGGAGGGTGGCCCGGTCACTCTCACCAGCGAATGGGGATGAGCAGGTCAGGCTAAAAGCACAGACACGCCTTGCCTTCAGGTGTGACCTGGTCTTCTGGATCCACAGGGGGCAGGTGGCCAGGACAAGGGAGCCCCCAGCCCTGCCTGGGGACAGCCACAGTGCCACTGCCATCCAGCCCTGAGAATCCCCACAATGGTCTGAGATCTGCTCAGAGAGCCAGGTTCAGCCTGGGACACGGATCCAAGGGTCAGCCTGGAGTACATACCCAGCCTTAGCTTGGGATCCAGGTGCCATCTACACTGGCAGCATCCCCAGGGCAGCAGCAACTGTTATGAGGGGACTTCCACAAACTACCCAGACCTTTTAGGGACACAGTGCACTGCTTTGCCCACTGACTAGGCAGAGCTCCTCTGGGACAGGGTGTGTACGAGGAGAGCTCAGCAGGAACCACTTATCAGTTGGCTGACCACTGGTTCCCATAATAGCTGCCCTTTGGGTCCTGGGTCTTTGTCTGGGGAGGAGCCAGTAGTGCTCACGGCCTCCCATGGGCCTGATGCGGGGGCTGGGAGAGCGCTGGAGCTGGCTTCGGAGGAGGAGGAGGTGGTGGACAGAGGCAGGGGGCTGCTCACCTGAGGTAGGAGATGACCCCCATGGCCCTGCAGGAACAAAACCACAGTCAAAGGATGTGCTCAGGGTTGAGGGGTGCAGGGGCAGGAGGAGAGGGCAGGGAGCATGTGTGGGGGACCTGCTGGCCTGAGAGCTCACCAGATGTCGGAGGCTTCGCTCACAGGGGTCTGCTCGATGATCTCTGGGGACACAAATTCTGGGGAGCCGTACTTGCTGTACTGTGGCTCTCCTGGGGTGATTTTTTGGGCAAAGCCAAAGTCGCAGATTTTAATGTCTTCCCGAGCAGGGTGCACCATCAGGATGTTGGGGGGCTGTTAGGGAGAGTCAGGGAGGGGTGAGGCCATGGCCAGGGAGGTGACAGGGAGCACTCAGGGCTGTGATGGGACCCCACAGTGTGGAACTGTGGGCTGTCCTGGGGGATTTCAGCTCCATTTGGGGACATGCTCCAATTTATCCCAGCTGCACCCCACCAGAAAGAGCTCCCCATCCCCAGAGGCAACAGGTGCTAACGGAATCTAGAGGAGGTCGGCCTGGCTACCTCCCCCCCGGCCACCCCCGCAGCCAGCAGGCTCCAGGCTCCCACCCGTCCTCCCAGGTCCCTGGGGACCCCAAGGTGGCCACACACCTTTATGTCCAGGTGGAGAACACTCTGGCTATGCAGGTATTGCAGCCCCTCAACCAGCTGCTGGACGTAGACCTTGACCTACAGCCAAGGCCAGGGCTCAGGTGGGAGCCATCCCCCATGTCCTCCTCCACTTCCTCTTCCCTCCAGCTCTGAGCTTGGGATGGTCCCACGGGGCAGCTATGTGCACAGCCTCCCAGACCCCCCCGGTCCCTAAGGCCAGAGGATTCCTCCAGCCCAGCCATGGACCAGCCTGGCCGCAGCAGGAAGCACTGCGTCTCAAGCCCAGGATAGGACAGCCTCAGGCGAGGTAGGGCTGGGAGGGCCCATCAGGGAGGGCGAGGATATGGGAGGGCTCGGGGAGAGCTCCTGAGGAGCTGCCACGCCCCAGGAGCCCTGGGGCACCTCAGAGGCTCTCTGAGCTGGGGAGTGCTGGGGGCCTGTGCTGGCATGGGGAGCAGGAGGCCGCTGGTCACCTCAGCCTCTGTCACCACATTCTTCTTGAACAGACGGTCTAGTAGCTCCTCTGATGAGCATCTGGGGCTCAGATCAAGGAAAGCTCTGGCGTCTGGAACCCACCCAGCCCCGCACACCTTTGGCAAGTCTTTTCTTGGGGTGGGGGTAGGCATGGGGCCATGCTGGGGAGGCAGGGGCTCCAGCTGAGGAGGGCAGGAGGGACAGGGATCCTGAGAAGAGGGGCTGACACCCGTGGGCGGCAGCAGCAGAGTAGGAGGGGAGCGCAGAGCGCATGTGGCCCTCCCTGGAGCCTGGATGGGCAGCCCACGGACCCTTTAGGGCATCAGGGCTGAGGGCAACCACTCAAGTGGGACTTCCCTGCTAGAGGGGCCACGTGGAGCATGACAGGGGCCCACCGAAGGCAGGTGCTGGACCCTGTGGACACAGCCCTGCCCACATTCCGGGCCCACGGAGCCATATCTGCCAGGAAGGTGCCGGATGCAGAGACACCAGAACAACCGGCGGGGGGAGGGGGGCGGGGGGGTCAAACCCCTGGCTGCCCAGGGCGCGCCCCTCTCCGCACTCTCTCCAGCTGAGGGCGGGATACAGCTCCAGCACAAGGATCAGGGTCTTCCGGGTCTCAAACTGGTCCAGCAGCCCGGTGACCAGAGGGTGGCTCAGCGTGGCCAGGATGTCCCGTTCGCGATACGCCTGTGTGCGCGTCCTGCTCCGCAGGGCGATGAACTTGGCTGCGCAGAACATCTGGTTTCCCTTGTGTTGCACCCTCTTCACGAAGCCGAACACGCCCCTGTGGAGGGGAGCCACGCTGGGCACCGGGGCCAGGCTCCCAGGGTTCGGGGCTGGAGGAGTCCTCCAGGGAAGGTGGCTTCTCGGGACGGTGCTTCTGGGAAGCCTGGGCTCCCGGGGCGGGCACTCGGGGTAGGGACTCCGGGAGGCGGGGCTGGGGATGGGGGCTCGGGGGAAGGGACTCCGGGAGGCGGGGCTGGGGGGTGTCTAAGACTTGGGGGTAGGGATTCCGGGAGGGGAGGCTGGGGGCACAGACTCAGGGTAGGAACTCTGGGAGGCGGGGCCGGGGCGGGGACTCGGGGAGGCGGGACTGAGGGGTGGGGTATCAGGGAGAGACTCTGGGAGGCGGGGCTGGGGCGGGGACTCGGGGAGGCGGGGCTGGGGCGGGGTATCAGGGAGAGACTCTGGGAGGCGGGGCTGGGGCGGGGTCTGAGGGAGGGACTCTGGGAGGCGGGGCCGGGGCGGGGACTCGGGGAGGCGGGACTGGGGGGCGGGGTGTCAGGGAGAGACTCCGGGAGGCGGGGCTGGGACGGGGTCTGAGGGGGGGACTCCGGGAGGCGGGGCTGGGGGGGGGGACGGGGGGGGGGGACTCGGAGGGGGGGGGAGGGGGCGGGGCTTCCAGGGGGAGACAGGGGCGCCTGGGGCTGGCTTTCTGGACCAAACCTTCCAATTTCCTCCTTGACCTCGTAGAAAGAGTGCAGTTTCCTTCGATAACTTTGCTTCTCCGACTCCAGCTCGCCGTCTCCTGCAAGGAGCGGGAAGCCTTCGGTTTTGGTTTTGGTAAAGATGGCCATCTCCCCTTGTGCTGGAGCCTGTGAGAGGCCACCCACCCATCCTGTGCCCGCGAGCAGCAGACACTCCGGTTCTGGGAGGGACGCCCGACTCACCCCCATGGACTACCAGCTCTGCTTTACATAGCACCTGGCCGCCAGCATTGCGGGCCAGGCATGTGTAGACACCGGCATCGTGCTGGGTCACGTCCCTCAGCACCAGGGAGTAGGTGGTCCCGTCCTGCTGCTGGCTCAGCCGGGCGCCGTCCACCAGGTGGGCATCGTCCTGGGGCCATAGAAGGGTGGGGCGGCCATCAGCCCACCCTGGGTCCCCTGCAAGTCAGCCTGTCCCGCCCTCATGAGTGTCTTGCCGTTAGATGGGAATGCCACACAGTCCCCAAGCCCAGGCCCCCCCCACAGCACCTGTCCCTACCCGGTACCAGGTCACCATGGGCTGAGGGTTGCCCTCAATGACCGCCTGGAACTGGGCTGTGCTGCCCCTCTGTGCCTGCACATCTTCGATGGTGACCTGCATGGACGGGGGCCCTGGAGTGCAGGAGGAAGCCTGTGAGGGGGGTGGGCCAAGCTGTGCTTCCCGCCCGGCCCATGACGGCCCCTCCAGCATGGAATCATCAAGCTGGCGCTTGCAGTCACAGACCCCTCATGGACCAGCGTTGATCCTGGGCCTGTCCTGACACCCCAGGTGGGCAGCCAGGCCCTGAGATAGTCCCCCCGGGAACAAAGCCCACCTGCCCCCTAAATGAGGAGAACCCCCTCCTGACTTTGCCCAGGCCCCGATGGCCAGAAGTGCTTCCTTCTGTCTAACCTCTGTCTGTCCTGCTTAGACCTTCGCTGTCCACCCCTGCTGGGGAGAGCGGCACTCAACATCCGTTTCCCTACTGTCAGCACCCCAGGGGGAGAGACCTCACCCCTCCCATGGATGTACCTCCCAGCAAATGCAGGGAAAGGGGCAGTGAGGCCTCTGGCCACAGCAAGGCTGGGACAGGCCAGGTGGCTTCACAGGTTCCTCTGCACACGTGTCCCCCCAGTCCAGGGCATGGGGAGCACAGGTGTAACCTACTTGTGGCAGCCGCATCGCTGGCCTGGTACACGTATGTCCTGTGGGTGGTCTCCATGAACACTTGGCTGTGGATGTCCCATAGCGGCACCGCACCTGCCCCTGGCCAGGCTGTGCCCTCCATCCTGTGGTCATGGAGCCGAATGACAGTCTGCCCTTCTACTACCCTTCTGGAGTGCAGGCGGCCAAGCCTCACCGTAAGATGGGGGCATCGTCCTGCCTCCCCATCCCTGGACTGCAGCAGACATTTTGGGAGGGAATGTGCACAGAGGGGACCCAGCCCTGGGCGATGAGAGGGTTCCACCAATACCCCTCACTCTGAGGGCGACCTCTCCTCCCTGCTCTGCCCTGGGATATCCCCCCAAAATCTGCCCTAACCCAGCATGCCAGGGAGGTTACCGGATGGGCACGACACGTCCCTGGTCCTCAGTGTGGGCTCCCGAGTCCCGCTCCTGGCCCTGCTTGGGGAGACGCTGTGGCACCTTCTGGGGCTCAACTGGTAGGAGACAAATTGTGTAGTGAGTGATTGGGATGCAGCTGGGACTGTCCCCCACAATGGGCCCCATGTCGTCCTCCAGGCCCAGAGGGTGGGAACACAAGGCAGAGCAGGGACTTCAGGGATGCAGGGCCCTCTGGGTAAGAACCACCAGGGAACACCCACTTCTGAAGCCTGGGGCTCCCTGCAGAGCCTAGACCCCAAGGTACCCTTCTGCCCTAGCTCCTAGCCTGGGCCACCAGCCCTAAGGCTCCCCTCACCAGCCACTCTGCAGGGCCCTGGACACCCAGGTGCAGCAGCTTCTGTGGGGAGGGAACTCAAGGCAATATCCCTGGGGGACTCATCGGTCTGGGGTGGTGGGGGGTCTGCCCCCCTCCTCCGTCCTGTCCTCCTC